CTCTTGGTGGAGCTGGTTGTTGAAGAAGTGTAGGGTGTAGTCGTGGAGCTGCTGGTCCAATCTCCCCAACTCTTCGTTGGCGAGGTAGTGGAAGAGGTATAAGGCGTCGTAGTCGAGCTTGAAGTCCAGTCTCCCCAGCTCTTGGTCGACGAAGTGCTTGAGGAAGTATACGGAGTCGTCGTGGAACTACTAGTCCAATCACCCCAGCTCTTGGTGGAGCTGGTTGTTGAGGAAGTGTAGGGCGTTGTCGTGGAGCTGCTGGTCCAGTCGCCCCAAGACTTCGTTGGCGAGGTAGTGGAAGAGGTATAAGGAGTCGTGGTTGAGCTTGAAGTCCAGTCAGCCCACTTAGTACTGGAAGATGAAGTTGTATATGTCGAGGTTGTGCTGGGAGTGGTCGATGAAGACCCCCAGTCACCCCAGCTCTGACCAACTGAGGTCGTGCTCACTGCAGGAGGCGACGAAGAAGTGGTGGAGCTAGTAGTGTATGCTGTTGTTGTACTGGGGGTAGTGTACGAAGAAGAGCTTCCCCAGTCGCCCCATGTGTTGGCACTGGCACTCTCTCCCCTCGGCAGCACAGCAGACAGAGCTGGTGCAAGCAATGAAAACAAAACGACCGACTTGGAAGACATGTTTAGCGAATGTAGAACGAATGTCAGTATGTGAAAATATCAAAGCGAGTGACTATGTGCTTGGTGAGATGAACAATAGCAATGTACCGGGCAATGGGAGACGTCCCTCTTATACCATGCCACTCACCTTGCAAGCATACTGAGGTGGGTTGACCATTTCCATCGTCATCTGGAACTTACCATGGCGCAGCATGCTAACGTATCATCGGAGACACACAGCAGGAAAAGCTAATCCGGTTAAACCGTGCATCGCCGGGATGGATCAGATGCCTCCCACTCCACCAGGTGGAGTACGACGTATAGGTTTTTGCTTACCATCGCAAACGGAAGGGGCGAATAGAACTCAGCCAAAGACCCTGAGGCCAGCACCATTTTCGTATACCCAGTAAAGAAATGCGGGCACCGTTGCCTGACTTCGCGGTCCGGTCACTGGGGCGAAGTCCAGCAGTTGGGGATTTGGTCAGAGCGCTGTTCCCCCACGTGGCAAGGCAGCGTTGCAACATCGGTGACTCCGCAGTCCAGTTTGTAAGTCAGACTATCTCATTCTTTTGACTCTGCGGCCAGTAGGTCGTACCGAAAAGGGAGTATCATGGGATTCGCAGGAGCGCAGATGTCTCAGAGAAGGAGGGTGGTGGGTGTTGACGAGCTTCCAGTGAGAATCGTGCTCGATTCTGTAGCGCATGCACGCCCACGTTGCCGAGCATCCGGGTTTGTACTGGGTACGAGTACGAATCAGGGCTCCAGTATTCGACGTCACCGTCAGCGTGGCCCTGCGTGGCCAACATGAGGGAACTTCGGTGTGTGGGTGTGTTCGGTCCTGCTGTTCAGTGGCAGGTGAGGCTGGTCAAAAGTGCATGGTGGGTGAAGGTGGCATTTTTCGGAGAATTTCTTGCGTGCTTACAGCGAGCTCTGAGACACGCCTGTGGCTGGCAGGCACCCGCAGGACTGATCCAATGGGATGATGTCAGGCGTTGGGGATTTCGGCCACAGTGCTGCTAAATTTATCAGCTGTGTGGCGAGCATAGGGCAAGATGTGCAGGCTGGCGGTAAATGGGAGGTTCCGAGTAACCGAAATGTGCGCCTAGCGATAATTAGCAACTTCGATCTTTTAAGTAGACTGAGTCGCTGGCAAATGCAGTACACAGTACAGAGTCGTTCTCGACGCTTACTGCTGAGCAAATTTCTTTGGCGACATTGTCCAAGGAAGCATAAATCCCACGAGGACGGAGTAAAGTCGAGTCCACTCACCCACTGTGCACCTCGTAGTCTGTGCAAGGCACCAAGGACGGCAGGAAGGATAAGCAGCTTACGCAGATCTGCTGGCAAATGGGAGAAGCTTGCTGGAGGTAGCTTATTGAGACATTTCCCTCATGGTCGATGCCTAAGGTACATGTGAGAATCGTGTGATCCTCCACGCCGCAGAGAGTGGAGGATGACACGATAACTGCTGCCAGTTACTCGCTCACGAAATGCTGATCTCTGCCTATGGTCCGCCGTAGTCCCTCATCTTCGGTGAAGCACCTGCGTTAATGTGCGGACTTAGAGATTTGACACATTCAGGCACACTCTACTTTCAGTGCCAAAGGTAGTCTTCATTACGGGGTATCAAGACAGGCGAGTACGCTTCACTTCAGTATTGGAGCAGCAGTAAGATATGCAGGGGTTTAGACATATCTCTTCTGATCGTTAGGACGATGATAGAGCCAGGGGAATGAGCTCAGCACATCCACCAATTCAGTCGTTTTGTAATTACTATCTGACCAAAACTACGGGTTCCAATCCTGCGGCCGAAAGTGCATCATATGGATCTCGTCGAGTCTGAATCGCAAAAACCTTAATTCTCTGGGAGGAGAGATACCAGAGTGGAAAGAGAAGACCGCGATTCTGAGACACAATTGGAGCCTTGCGAAGATGGCATCGAACCCGAACAGAGAGGCTGCTTCGGACGCCGTGCCCACAGCCAAGTTCTTACAAGGTATGCTCCTTCAGTGTTCTCTCATCTCCGCCTCTTGAATATGTCTCGCGCCTGCAGTGCATTGGTGGCTGTCTTGTAATATTGCCTGCTGACGTCTGGGCAGCCCGAATCACAGCTCTTTCAACCACTCTAATCAAACGGCTAGAGAACATCTTTGCGGTTGCTTTGGATGACACGGCGTCTCAGACAGCCGGTGGCAGTGCAACACCCCCTCCGTCGTTGACGGAGACGTCTGCGCAACAATTTCAACTCGACGTCGAATCCACAGCAGTCATCCGTGCAGCCGAGGAAATCATGATGTTGACGAGGACAATGAAGGAGATTTGGCTCTTCGGCGGCTTGGATACTCTGGCGACGGATCACAACGGCAAGGATGTAAACGGGCAAGACGAGGCAGCCCAGAGGAAGATGGAAGAGGATATCCGGATCGTCGAGGAAGGGTTTAGGAAATTCCTCGAGAAGTACGAAACGTCACTTGTTCTTGATGGCGGCGACGAGCGAGACGAGCACCTCCAGTCGACATAACGGTGACTCCAAGAACTTACCAATGTCTTTTGCTGGCCTCTACTTTTCTTGAAAGCAGAATAAATAAATCCATCGGACATTCCTCACCGCGGCCTCATTTTCCGAAGTCTAATTGCCCCGCCATGCCGCTTGATGTAACGCGTCTAGGGGCAAAAGTCGCGTCTAGAGCTTCCGATGCAAATGTTTGGGGTCTAGAACCTCTAGACCGACTGAAAGGCAGTAGACACATCATTGACAGCGCATCTCTTCAGCCGCACTTTTCCCCCGAGAAAAGCGAATCGATACTTTACACCGCAGTATCAACATGTCGCTGTGGTTTCTGGTATCATCCTGGCCGAAATATTGACTCGTGGTGGAAACAGCGTGACGAGTCGGGAGAGGCCGCATCGACAAAGCGCGACCTCGAAAGACCTCGATATCGCACCAATCCAAGTACCTGTCTATTGATGTTCAGTAGACCGTCGACGGCGCCAACACCATTGAACACACAGGGTCTGACTGTCCCGCCATCAACACGCCCAACCAACGACGTGCAGCCAAACAAAGCAATGACCATCTCAACACCCCCGTCAACCACTCTCTCGGCACCACCATCACCAACAGAGCTTCCCACGTCGAATCTTCCACCAGCGGACACGTCAGACGAAGGACTCGAAAGGCTCTCGCCGTCGCAGAAACGCATCATCAAAACCACAACAACGGTTATAACGCCGATATTCATGCGTCCCAAGCCCATCTACATCATTGTCGCCACGTCCCTGAATCCACCCATGGGCATTGGATTCAAGGGCAAGCTGCCCTGGCCGGGGATCAAAGCGGACATGGCTTTTTTCAAACAAGTCACCTCGCACGTCCCTGTGGAGGAAGAGACTCCGAAATCTAGACCGATCAACGCCGTCGTCATGGGGAGGAAGACGTGGGACAGTATCCCGCCCCGGTTTCGACCGTTGGCAGGACGATTGAACGTGATCATCACGCGAGGGAGCCCAAGTGACCTGTCACAGAGGATATTGGCGGAGATCCAGGCCTCGTCAGAGGACTCTGATGCTCCTCCAGCATGGGAAACCCACCATCTCGCCGCCGGGAGCGTGAAGGGCCGGTCACGGTCCCGGACGTCCCAGCAAAGTACCATCACAGTCCTGACGCCACCGTCTTTCCCACCTCGGTCCTCGAAACGGGCCGTTTTCTCGCCGATCATGATCTCTCAGTCTCTCTCGTCGGCCCTGTCGTTGCTGTCCTCGCCCACGCCCATCTCCCTATCATCGGCCACCGCGACGTCCTCCCCACCAGCAGCACCGTCAACGATCTCCATCCACAAGATCTTCTGCATCGGCGGCGCCGAAATCTACCGCCAAGTCCTCGCCCTGTCATCCCATGGATCACACACTCCGACCACGCCCACCGCCGGCGGGCCGGGCAGCGAAACCGGCACAGACACCGAGGGCGAAACCCAAGCACCACCAGCACCAGCACCAGCACCAGCATCCACCGCCTCATTCGACCCGTTCAAGGAATCCGAGCACCTTCACTTCGACGTGCGGATCCTGCAGACGCAGATCCGCAAACTCGCAGCTCCGGCATCGGGGTCTGCCACAGCATCGTCATCGTCACCCCCATCCCAGCCCTCTTCCGAGTATCCACGAAGAAACTCCAAGATCCCAGTCGATTTCGAGTGCGACACCTTCTTCCCGGACCTGCTACCGTCGCCGGGCTCGGGCGTCAAGTCCGCCAAGTGGAGGCCCGTGCTTCGAGGCGAGGGCGTGAAGGAGTGGATCAGCGAGGCCGTCACGCTGCCTCAGCACGCGGGACGCAGGAAGGAAAGCATCCAGGATGAAGTGGTGGGCGAGGCGGACGCGGACGCGGACGAGAGCGAGAGCGAGCGCGAGCGGTCCGACGAGAAGGACGGCAAGGAACTGTGGTTCAGGGACGAGAAGGCCGGCGTGGAGTGTCGGACTATCGGGTGGGAGAGGCGCTGAAAGACGTGTCCGTGATGGATGGATGGATGGGGCTAATTAGGGGCGTGAGAACTTTTGGTAACTAACTATAACGTCGATTTCCATGCGTGAGTCCTCATCCTCACGTAGATCATGGGGGAGGGCAGGGCAGGGCAGGGCTCAGCGGCATCCACAAGCCTGGCAGCCTCGATCGCAAAAAAGTCATTTGTGCTAATATCACGGACAACAATGCTTCGTCTCGTCACCGGAGCTGAAAGATGGCTTCAATTCCTCATCATCTGCCGTTCTGCACCCATTGGCCCATATATCATGCTATACATTTCATTCATCTCAGTAGTGGCTGCCCACACAAAACTCGATTCTGTCCTTGATCCCCCTCCCTCGCTTCCAGGTGCGCAAAATCAATGGCCTGCCGAGCCATCAACGGGTCTGACGCTGCCCAGTTCGCCGTACTGTCCTCTGCCACGCGTGGTATCGTACGCGCTAAGCACCCGCATCGTCTGTCCTCCCGTCGACTCATCCCCAGCGCTAAATGCATATCCCCTCTGTTTCCTCATCCTCTGCACCTGTCGAACCTTCCGAACCGCTTTCTGGAACTGCTCCATCCGAGGCCGATAATCCTGCACGTTGTACTTCTGGATCTCCTGCACGTGGTGGTATTGCTGCGGGAAGTACATTCTCTTGGCGTACTTCCACGCGAAGTCGCGGATGAGGCAGACGGGCGGGAGGACCAGACATAGCGCGTAGAATACCGGATAGCCAAACATGACGGGAATGATCCCATCGAGTTCCGTGCTGAAACCAGAGCCGATGTTGGGTGCCGCATAGCTGTAGGCCGGAATAAACGCCAGCCAGATGATGAAGGACCCGGGTATGGCGAGCACGGTGTACTTTGTCCAGACGTTGGTGATCAGAGCGGCTTTGCCGAGGACGACAAGGAGGATGGCGGTATAGGTCGATGTGCCCCAGACCCAGTGGCCTGCGGCTTTCCCGTCATTCAGGATCCCGTCGTTGAGGAAGAAATAACTGCTAAAGATATACGCGAGAATGGAATGGTAGAACCCATTGGCAACCCAACTCCAGAAGGAATGCATGCGGAAAAATACGCCTTTCTGCGTGAGCTGGTAGAGTTGCGGATACCGGTCGAGTAACCGAGCAGAGATAAACTGATCGAAGACGCCCATGGCAAAGGGCGGGAAGAACGTGAAGAGCACGTTGTAGAAGGATAGGGTCCAGGATTCGTAAATGACTTGCCCCGAGAAGGAGTTTTGGAACGCGTACTACGGGCTTCCTGTCAGTATACAGCGCGAATGATGAGGTCTCTGGCTTACCCAAAACTGTGTCATGAACATGGCAATGTTCTTGTAGAACGAGTACAGAATGACCTTGCTGATGCGCTGGTAACTCCATGCGCCGTGCACCAAAAGCAGTTTTCGCAAATATCGGAACTGTCCGATTGCGACGTCGGCACTTCGAGCGGCTTGCAGGCCTTCGACGCCACTGATACCGACGCCGACATGGGCAGCTTGAATCATTGACACGTCGTTGGCCCCGTCACCGATGGCCAACAAAAGCGCCTTCAGATGCCGCTTAACGAGTTTGACGACCAAAGCTTTCTGCAGTGGCGAGACTCTGCAGCATATCACTGCCTTGCACATGACGGCCAAATCAAGGAATAGTTTCTCCATGTCTTTTTCCAACGCAAACGTCAAGGACTTGCCGTCGATGACAAGTGCGAGGACGTCCTGTTCCCCTGAGGCGGCCTGGCTTCTTACTGCGTCGTATTTCTTCTGGAGGCTGTTCCGGGTGGCGGTGGAGTTCTCCTCGTTGATGATCAGGAGTGTCATGTCTTCACTGATCAGTTTGCAACTCATACCAATGTTGATAGCCGTCTCTTGTCTGTCACCCGTGAGAACCCAGACCTTGATGCCCGCCTGTTGCAGAGTGTGGATCGTGTCAGGCACGCCATCTTGTAACCGGTCTTCGATGGCTGTCGCACCTAGGAGGTAAAGGTCGCGCTCGATGATTTCGGCGGCCTTGTCCAGTTCTTCAGCGCGGTTACCTCCCACCGTTGTGGCGGCCTTATCAAAAATCTGTTTCCAGTCCTGGAATTCTTGCTCCGGTATTTCGCGCATAGAGAGACACAGTGTTCGCAGGCCTTCGGTGGCATAGTCCTCCAACTGCCGCAGGGTAACGTCAACAATCTGGTTATCCTTGGCTAATCGTTCCAGGATCACCGTATCGGCTCCCTTGCAATAGATCCGAATTTTGCCATCCGGGCATCGGAAAATGGTTGACATACGCTTCCTGGTTGAATTAAATTCGCACACTGCCAGCAGCTCGTATTCCACTTCTTGCCCGTCCACTTGAACGATCACAGAGCGCGGCTTTCGCGCTACAAACCGATAGCCGAGCATAGCGGCGCCCTCGACTAGGGCCCCTTCATCGGGAGATGCAGCCTGGTACTTGATTTCCGATTTCTCATCTTTGCGCTCGGGGATGACAGTATGACACACGGCCAGGAGAGAAAGAAACTGGTGAATGACTTCTCTGGTGGGATGCGACTTCAGGTTCTCACGGAGTTGTTTGAAGTCGTGGACTCCATCCAGATCATCTGGGCCAGATGCTTTCACGTCCTCGGGCACCACGTCGGCGTAGCGAATGCCCTGAATCGAGGACTGTCTAAATTCCATCATATTGCAGGTTAAAGTCCCTGTCTTGTCCGAGAAGATGTACTCAATCTGGCCCAGTTCTTCCACAAGCGATGACGTTCGGCATACCGCGGGGGTATCGGTACTGGGATAGTACATGTCGAGATCACTACTGATGAGAAAAGCCTGGAAGTACTTCACGATCTCCACAGTCACAAAAAGTGAAAGGGGGACCAGATTCGAGTACAAAATCCAGTATGTGCAGAGATCCAGAAAGAACTGCGACACGGCGCTGTAGTCGCCGTAATAGAGGTATGTCAGTTTTTGACCGGCTGTCGCTCGGACGATGAGATCGCCAATGGTGCTGACCGCGCTGAGAACCAAGAGAATAGCCACGAGCATGAGAATCTGCTTGTTCAGCATTCGTTCCACGTCGGTACGCTTAATGGGGGTGGCTGTGGCGTTGCGCATCAATTTGGTTTCGTGGCCTGTGAAGACGACGACCCCATGTACCCAGGGGGTGTTGCGTAGGACAGCTCCTCGCAAAAGCAGCTGCTCAGGTGTCAGAGGGAGTTCTTTCTCGCTTCCGCCACCAGCCATGGTCAAAGTCGCTTCGTAGGTATAGAGACTGCTATTCGGCTGCTCTGACCGCACCCGCCCGCTCAGTCTCCCCAGATCTGCAGGATTGACCAAATGGACGGTTTCAGGAATGGCCTGTTTGATTTTGAGGTTTGTTTCGCCATCGAGATTTGCCGTCTCAATGTAGCAAAGACCTTCTGGCTCGGAGCTTGTGAGCAGAACCAGATCGGCAGGAAATGGCTCTTCCGACTCGACTCGTACAATGTCGCCCACAGCAACATTGATCCATTTCGTCTCTGTGAAGCTGGACCCCCTTAGCACCCGTGCTTGGGAATCGTTCAGGGTCTTATCGGCCTTTTTCCGCTTCCAGTCTTCGACGTACTCCTTGATGGCGGAAATCATCAGCACAATCAGCAAGGGCACAATGGTTGTATATCGATTCGTGGGCGAGACGTTGGGGACTTGTTGCAGCACGGCGGTGAACAAGAAGAACAGGTTTGCGTATTTGGAAAATTGTTCAAAGAGAAATTTCGGGAGAAACGTTGCAATGTTGTATTTGGCGGTGGAAACGTGGTTGTCGACCCATTTGTTCGCCGAATTGGCTGGAGGGTTGTTGAGGTGGATGATTCTGGGACCTAGCATTGACGGGTCGACCTTCTTCCTCCCAAACATATCTTTGATGTTGTCGAAGCTGAACTCCTTCTTCTCTCGGCCCGGAGGCGTATCATCGGTTCCTGCAGTGTCGACTCTCGAGTGTCGCGATCCCGCCTCTGTTAATGGAAGATGCATGTCCGAGTAGTTGCTATCGCGGATGCCCACGATACCTTTGGCCCGGTCCACCAATCCAGCCATCGACATGAGACTCGTTCGATCCCGCCTATGATGTCTCCCGACTACTTTGACACCACCACCGGGGATATGGTCGTCCGACGGCCCCCCATTGTCGTAGTATTTAAAACCCGACTCTTCCTCGGTCAAGTCTTCGCCGTCTCCATATCTCGCATAGTTGTGGAGGTCGGAGGTTTGAGAGTAGTTGTGCGAGCCATCGTTCATGTATGGCGCGGAGAACGGTCTACTCGAGGAGCCCGCGGGTTGGGCTTGACCAGGTGCGCCCGGTCTCCCACCACCGACGAAGTCATCGTAGCTGGTTGAGGGTCTGGGTTGGGCTTCGTCCGAGTCGTCAATATTGAATGCATTTAGGAGTTGCGAATCGTCTACGGGAGGGCGCTGCCCTGTACTGTAGGCCGGCTGCGACTGTCCCAGATCTGCTAGTAAGGTGTTGTCGTAGTTGGCAGCTGGGGACGCATTGGGCCTCCCGTCCATCTCTCCAAAGCGCCAGATGCAATGACAAGCAAGTCGCTGGCTTTACGGTGCCATAGAGATCATGAAAGTCTTCGGTCGCAAGTGTCTGTGGTTGCTGGTGACATGTCGTATTGGCACAGTCGTGGGAGGGCGGCGTCAGCGACGTGGTTTGTGCTCGTTAAGATTGACGGTGACAATGCCAACACCAAAAAGGCCAGGTTCGGTTTGGATGCGCGGTCGCAGGCGGAGCAACGACTTGGAGGCGCCCCCAAGGCCCCGTGCGGGCAAGCGTGGTGGCTGCACTGGGCTGCACTGGGCTGCACCGGCTGGTGCCCCGCCGAACTGGGTCTAGGGCCGAGTTTCACTTGGCCAGGCACCCGCCAAATGTTACAGCTGCAACAGCCTCCTGAACCCTAGCCCCATCCCGTTCAAGGGAAGCCGAGGGTCCCTGTCATGCCAGTTTTCTATATAACCTCTTTACGGGTCTGG